GCTAGACAGCTGGAATTTTGTTGGTAATCTTCCAGTTTTTAAATGTTAGCGTTAACTTTTAAAATCTAGATTTGCCGCTAGACCCTGTGTTGGTTTAAGATGGTTGGCTGTGTGTGGGCTCAGGAACCGCTGCCAGACTGGATGCTCTTGTGACTATATTCCCCCTCCTAGCTCCCTCACCTAGTGCCTCCTTGTGCATGTTCAGGGGACAGCTTCGTCCCCCAAGGCAGAGTATGTTGGCCTGTTGGCTCCTGGGTGGCTGGCTCCCATATGGGGGCACTGGGCTCTTGGGGGAGTCACCCTTTCCTGCAGCGGCCCCGTGGCAGGTGGTGCTGTCCAAGCCCATTCACACATACCTGGCGCGTCCATCCACCCTCTGTTAGACTCGCTCTGCTCTATCCTGCCTCTCCCTTTATGTTGTGGCATCCCTTACTTGCTCATCCCCACCTAGGAATCCAGATCCCCCATCTGTTGTCAGGACTTCTGTTTTCCTCTTCATCTCACCTCTTGATCAGAGGGAAAGTATTTTGACTCCTAGAGGAAGAAAGTCTGAAACTAGAGTTTCCTCTTTGGGCTGAAGATCACTCATCAGCCTAGGCCCACAGTGCCTCTGGCTTTGAGGTCAGCATTCCAGCTTATTCCTCCTTTTAGACTTTTAGTTGCTCAAATAAGGCTGAGCCTTAAGCCTGGTCAACCATGCTGAAGGCCTTAAGGACTGTGTGTCCATTAAAAACATGTTTGGCTATAGTTGTTTAAATGTTAGCTGTTGGAAATACAGGGACTCATAGTTTGATTTTAGACTTAAACAAAATGGTAACTTTGTAATATTTCAGTTCTATTGTAGATCAAATCAACTTTTAGGAGCCAACTTAAACACCTCACCATGCTCTACTAACTGCCACTGTGGGGAAATGCGTTTTATGTGCAGTGTGTTTGACTTGCAAGTGGAATTTTGAAGCACAGCCACTAGAATGCTGGAATTAGCCTCTTCTACACTATTTGAGGCTCAATTTCGAGTTGCCTGGAATTCATTCTGTACTTAGTAAATGAAATTTGACGTGTCTCTCCCAGGCTATTTGTGTCCCCTCTCACGGTAAGGCCGATCACATGCTCATAGAAGGTAGTTAATAAATGCTTGCTGGATGAACAAAGACTAGGGCCCACAGTCCTTAGTATTTAGGGGTTTTTTAATGTCCCTGTTTTGTTCTGGGTTGCAGATAGTTTGATATGTGTCTTAATTTGTCCTGTGGCTATTGTTCTTGATGTTTGGTTTGTTTTCTAGAATTGTGAGTTCCTACATGGTAGCCACTAGCCACATGTGGCTATTGAGCACTTGAAATGTGACTAGTGTGACTCAGGAACAGAATTTTAATTTTAATTAAGACATTTAAATTTAAAAATTCATGATTGATTTAGCTATTGGACAATGTTTGAGTATGTTTGGAGTGTCTTGAGAGGTGAATCTACTGATTTTAAGTTCTGTGTGTGGCTCCCCTATTTCTTGTGGACTGTGCTATTCTGGATGTTCCCCCTTGATGTCAAAGACCCAATACTAAGTCTAGGGCATGAGGAAGGGAACTGAGGGGTAAGAGGGCTGGGACGCCATTCATGCTGACGGTGTAGGATGTGAGCCCGCTTGGGGAGTCGGAGCTCACGATAGGGAAGGCAGGAACATATTGAAGTATATGGCACTGAAATTCAGCCTGGCATTTGGGAAGAAAGGGCAGGGCTGACAGGGCAAGAGGAAAGGTTGTAGGATAGAGCAGCATAGAAAGGATAAAAGAGAAGTAAATGCTTTTGTAGTAGAAATTAGTGGAAGCATTCCCCTGCTCTTTGAGAGGGATGACAGGCCATAAAGGGCTATCTTACTCTCTTGATGAAGCTCGGACAACATGGAAGAGTCTCCCGGAGACACTGGAACACCTTCTGTTCAGAGACACTGAACGCAATGAGGCAGGCATTAATAGGCAACTGAGGACAGCTGTTCTTTGTTATGGAAGCATTGCCTCTATGCCGCATGGAGGAGGAGCCCTTTAGGAGAATGAGCTGGACTTTTCATTCATTCAGCAAACGTTTATTGAGTACCTGCTGTGTGCCAGGCACCGTACCAGGCGGTATCGAAACAAAAGTGAATGAAGTTGTACGTGAATATTCATAGCAGCAGTATTCACAGTCTCCAAAAAGAGGAAACAAACCAACTTTCTATCAGCTGAGCAATGGATGAACAAAATATGGTTTGTCCATACAGTAGGGTATTATTTAGTTATAAAAGAGAATTAAGTGCTGACTCATGCTACAACATGGATGAACCTTGAAAACATGCTAAATGAAAGAAGCCAGGCACAGGAGGCAACATGTTGTATGATTCCATTATGTGAAATGTCCAAAATGGCCAAATGCATAGAGACAGAGAGTGGATTAGTGGTTGCCGAGGGATGCCGAGAGGGGGCAATGGGACGGACTGCTAGTAGGGATGGAGTTTCTTTTTGGGGAGATGGAACTATTCTGGAATTCGGTAGTGGTGGGATTTGCACAAAATAGTGAATACACTAAAAACCACTGAAGTATACACTTTAAAATGGTGAATTTTATGTTATATGAATTTTACCTTAATTTAAAAATGTGAAAAAAAAGCGAATGACGCAAATTCTCTCCCCTCCAGGAGCTCATCAGACAGATTACACATAACACATAGTTACTGGGCACTGTGGGAGTACACTGCTGGTCTATACATGGAAGCACACGCCTCAGGGGGCCTAGCCTAGTTTGGGGTGGTCAGAAAGTCTTCCCAGAGTCTCTGTCTTTAAGGAGGAGTAGATGGGACTTGGGAATTGAGTCACTCAGATTTAGTTGTTTGCTGCTTTATTTGGAAAATCCATAAAATTCCTGGACCTTAGATAAGGGCTATCTGCCTGAACGTGAGTCTTCTGCCCTAAGGGTCTCTGGAACCTGAGGACCTGGAAAACAAAGGAATACCCCAGGTGCAAGGACACTTCTGGACTTCTGGGAGCGGGAAACTGGTGAGGACCGCTCTTGGTCAGGGTTCTTGGTTGAGAAGACACAATCCTCCTGCTGGATTACAGGGATCCATGGGGAGGCTTAAGAGATGGAATCTGGGCTGAGCCAGTGTCATTTCCCAAGCGTCACATTAGAACTGAGCCTCCAAAGATGCTTCTCCTGCCTCCTTGATCAGGAAGCCAACTAGCGGCCTATGGAATTGGGAAGCTGGTGCTACAGCTGCTGACAAGGGAACCACACTGCTTCTACCAAAATCAGGAAGCCACTGTGACAGTTGCGACCCCAGAACCAGGTTTCTGCTACCGTGATCTGCACCAGCACAATTAATCTGATATGCCCTCCCTCTCTCCTCATCAAACTGTTGCACGTTCAAAACTCCAGCAAATGCATCTGAGTGGTGGAACCTAAATGGCGTGGAGAAACCTAGGTGCAAGAGACTATGGAAAATAGTTTTTTGTTTTCAGCCTCTGCGGTAGAGGAAGACGCAGTAGATACTGATTCAGCCAGTTCACAGAGGCTGCCATGAGGTCCTTTCCAGAATTTATCTCAATACTCATGATTTAACCTCAGTCTGCTGCACTTTGGGCCTGTAGATTAATGACTAATGGATGGGCACATTGTGCCCAGCGGTGACTTTTTGGTCTCTCCAGCTTTAGGACAACCTATTGCAAGGTCAGGTAATACTCTTGGCTTCTTGATTTCTGCATTTCCTTTCACTTATGTTTTGTTTATTCGTTCAGCATGCGTTGGAAATAAAGAATGTAAAAGTAGCATCGATGTCCTCCAGGAGCAGATGCAGACAGGCAGTTGGACATGATTGCCATCTGGGAAGTGGGGGCACCTGTACAGACACAGGGGTGGATTGCCCACGGCAGGGTGTCTGTGCATGGGGGATGCTTTGGAAAGGAGGTAGCTTTAGAGCTGAGATGTGAGGAGTGGTTAGGAAAGTGGAAAGAGGGAAGAGAACGGCACAGCGTGGGCAGAGCTCTCTGTTCAGGCAGTAGATGGAGAGGAGCGTGTGGATGGAGATGAGCGGCTGGGAGTGAGGCTGTGGTTAGAGCCATAGAGGAGGAGCCCTATGGAGAGTGCTGAGGAGGCCCTTTTTCTCCTGAGGGAAGAGGCCTGCCATCAATAAATGCAGATCTGACCGATGGGAAGTTGGGTGAGGAATGGTGAGGAAAAGTGGGAGTGGGGTGAGGCTGGAGGCCCGAGACCAGGCAAGAGGCCAGCACACTAACCGTGCAAGTGAGGGATGGTGTGAGTGTGGGCAGAGCAGAAGCCTTTGGTTGGTTTTCTTCAACGGTTGCATGTAACCTTATTTCCTTATAAACTACTTAAAGGTAAGTGAGGTTGGGTGCTTTGCATTGTGCGTTTTGGTTTGAGTTGAATGGTTTTTTCATTGTTATATTTGTTTTTGAAAAATAAAAAAGCGTAGATATTAAATAGAACCTAAAAATAAACTAATTCAAGCTAAAGTGCATTGGTGAGTTTCTTTGAATTTAAGGTTGCGTGATGTGAACACACCACATTATTGACATTGTGCTTGGGTTATGTTTGAGAATAAAAAATGGCCTGCACTTGAGGTGTGAAAGTAGCCATTAGAGAGCATGTTTAGCTTGAGCAAACACACCCATGTTTGTTTATACAGATATTTATAAGGCTTTCAGCTTAAACTGTGGATCCGAAATGCAGTTCCTGATTCAAGGAATAATGATTGCCCTGAAAAAGAAAGTTGCACTCTGCATTATCTGAGAGTTCCCATTTATGTTATTTATATGGCAAATATGATGACTGGCCTTTTATTCAAAAACAGTGAAATATGTCTGCAGTTTAGGCACTTAAAACATTTTCTCCAGTCTCTAAGTAGCCTAAGCCTAAATCCTCTTTGGTGCTTTTCTTATAAAAATGGAACCAAAATGCGTTTGACCAAATTTATGTGATTTTTGAATAGTAATCGAACTCCCCTTTTTTGTGGCCTGCAGGAGATATGGATTTAGCCGCCAGAGCCAAACAGAGAAGGTAAGAAAAGCCTGGATAATGGAAGAGAATATTTGAGAGACGGAAGTGCCCCTCTCCTTTGCCTCTGTCTGCAGTGACAGGCTGCCTAGCAGCGGTGGGATGGCCGGGTTGCTGCCGGCCAGGCTCTTGTCCTTGGCCAACGCGAGGCAGCAGGGATGTGCCAGCTGCCTGTGGCCACTGCATCCCCCTCCTGCATCACCAGCCTGCTGCCTCCAAAGGCCAGGGAGCTGAAGCAGCAGCCTCATCGTGGGGCTGGAAGTGAAGGGTGATTGAAAGTCATGGCCCGGGGTCAGACACTGGGTTCTAATAACTCCAGACGTGTGAGGATGAGGTCCACTCACAGGGCCCTGAACCCTCCTCATCTGATGAGACAGACCCTAGGCAGGTGTGGACAGGATGCTGGCAGTGAGAGAGAACACAACCATAAATTACAGGCCTGCCCTGTGCTAGGATGCCCTTAGCACAGGTGTGCAAATCAGGTAAGTCGAGGTTTTCTAATTTCACAAAGGAGTCTCCAAGATTTCTCCTAATATTTGTATTTATTAATGATCCTTAATTGTCGGCACCAGGGCAGGCATATAAATCTCGTAGTGCCAAACCTGGACTATGTTCTGGGCCCTTTGTTCAGGGCGCACATGTGTTTTTTTTTACTTCCTTCTCTGAACAGCTCTATAAGGAAGATGCTTATTCCTGTTTTTCAGATCAGAAAGCTGAGATTCAGGCTCCATGATTTGTCCAAGATCACACAGCTCCTCAAGTGCCATAACAAGAATCTGAACCTGGATCTGTGTGACATCAAAGCCTGTGCTCTTATCCACTGCCTTTTGAATAATGCAGTGTTAACTAAAGTGGTCACTGGCCTCTTAAGAAGTAGAGTCCTGCAGCTTCAGATCTATTAATAACCTCTTTTCTCATTCCCTACCCGACTCCCAGATTTTCTTGAATGAGATGCCACTCTTCCTGCTGTTCTCCTGCCACCCCTCCCTCTGTCCCGATCCCCTGTCCGTCAGTCCTCCTTCCAGGAAGCCTTCCCTGACCCCTAGCCTCCCTCTGCTTGCTGTAGTAATTGTTGTCTCAGAGTCATCGGAGGGCACCGACAGTGACTAGGAGCATGTGTTCTCAAGCCAGACTGGCTGGTTTCGGATCCTAGCTCCTCCCCTTTGTTGTGTGACTTTGGACAATATACTTAATCATTGTGCCTTAGTTCACAGCATCTCTAAAATGGGGGCAGTAATTGTACTACTTCACAGCATTGTTGTGAAGATTAAAATGTAAAGGACATAGAATGATCTAACACATGGTAAACATCTAGAAAGCATTGACTATTATCAGTAATCAGTCATGCACTGATTATATCATCTTCTTTTTTGGTTTTCTTGTTACTTATTTTTTTCAATATTTGTGTTTTCACTCAACTAAATAGTTGTTTCCTCCAAAGCAAGGTGTTTTCTCGATTTGCACATGTTGTGTGGCATCCGGTATATAATAAGAATTTGATGTGTACATTTAATTTTGATTTGTAATTTTAAGTCTGAAAAGAATGTCTATATGGGACTTTATTCTGTGATAAAGCAATTTCATTATGACTGGAAAAATACGAGATTCCTATGCAGTAGTATTCATGTTGGGCTTGTCTTGTCCTTCTTCTATCAGATGGCACATTTGAACTGAAAGTCTTGTTTCCCCATACCTATACCCAGCAGTTAGGAGGTCAGATTGCTCCCCTGGTCAGTCATAGGTTTGTTATAGAAAAGCATCCTAGAATTGGGATGGTCTGAGAAGAGCATCTGAGACGAGTCCTCTCCTTCAACCCTGGATGACCCTAATATCCAGAGAGGGTAAGCCTGAGGTCACCAGCTGGTGAATGACAAAGATGGAACTAAAACCAAGAACTCTAGACTTCCAGCCCATGTTTGAAGAACAGCAGTTAATCCAGGTGTCTTGAGTGTGTGGTACATTGAGAGCCTGAGGCTGGGTCACTAGCGTGAGCTTGATCAGCAAGTGAAAGAGTTTAGGTTTTTATCTTTCAGACCAGTGGTTTTCAAACTTTGTTGACCACTCTTGACAGTAAGAATTCTATTTTTCATCACGATTAAGTACACACACATATATACCAAAAGCAAAAGTCTCACAATGCAATACTTAATTCCTTTCTCCATGCAAAGCACCCTAACGTGTTCTGTTCTATTATTTTTATTTAATTTATTTAGATGCTAGTTATACCTGCTAAATTGCTCTCATGTCTCACTAATGGGTATCAACTGGCAGTTTGAACAAACACTGCTTTAGGCCATGAGCTTCCCCGAAGGTGTTCAAGTGGGTCAAGACCCAATCAAAGTGCAAGGGTAAGTCTGGCAAATGTGTGTGACTTGATATGAATTTAATCAGCAAGCAGTTCACAAATGGAGACAGGCATTGGCCAAGGCCTGAAGCTCAGCCTGCTCGGTCTGTAGCCAGCATGGAAGCTCAGGTCTCTGGATTTTCCATTCTTTCTCAGGGACTGGTTCAGCTTTCCAGATCTGTGTGTTTTCTTTCACAGACTCGTGCCTCTTTGCAATGTTATCCTTTCTCTGCTGAGTCTCCAACTCCAGTGCTCAGCTGTTTTCGCATCTTCCCTTCCAGGCTGAGGACAAGAAAATGGCACTTCCCACGGGGCTCTCAGCTACAGAAAAAGCTGACGCCCATGAGGAAGATGAGCTTCGAGCTGCTGAAGAGGTATGTGGCCCTTGCAGGCCCCTGAGGTTTCTGTTTAAATCATTTGGGAAGAAATTTCACTTTCATCCCCAGCTTTCCAAAATGTCAGTTGCCTCCACAGCCAGCTTCTGTTAGCTGGCCTTTCACAGCCTTTCTAGTTCTTTTTCTCACCTCTATGAACCTCACCCTGAAACAAGATCAAGTAAAACAACCCTTGGATTCCACCACAAAGAGCTGTTTAGACATACTGCCTAAGTCTTACCTGGTGAGATCTGCTCACCACTCCTTCTCCCCACTCCTCTTTTAGCAGCGCATCCAGTCACTGATGACCAAGATGACCGCCATGGCAAATGAAGAGGTGAGGTGGGAGTGTCGTGGGGGAGGGCGTGGTGTGGAGACGGGGCGTTGGAACCACCCTGCTGTGCTCTGTGGGGCCCTCCTCCCAGAGGGACCACTTTCTTCAGAGCCCTCTTTTTTCAGTACTCATTGCTTCCTGTTTCCTTTGGATCTTTCTTTTGGGCAGCTTTTTATAAATGCATAGTGTTGCTATCCATGGGAACCTCCAGGAGGGAGACTTGAAGGACCTTTGTGAGAGCAGGATGTCCCTGCTGGGGCAGCATCACAAGGGCCTCTGCAGGAGAGCTGCGGTTCAGCCCACGCCAAAGGAGACCCTGTCTTCTGTTTCCTTCCCACACTTTCTAGGGAGAAATAGAATACTGAATTTATAGTTGGTCTTCCCAGAGCTCAAGGCCTATCCAGAAGGTTTAACCAGGTGCTTTGAAAGGATCTTTCCTTTTTAAGGCAGGAAGGGCCTGTGGCAGTGAAGAGAGAGTTTAGGAGTTCTGAGATTCCTCTTCCTCTCCCACTTGTACTTCTTTTCCCCCTGAGTCCTAAGCCTCCAAGTTCCCTTAACCTCTGTTTAGTGACCCTCAGGAAGAGAGACCTTGGGATGAGGTAGGTGGAGTAAAGAGCCAATTTCCAGAGGAATCCAGGGTCTGAGGAGAATCTAGCACAGTGAATTGAGTGACCCAGGAGGTAGAGAGGTCCCTTAACATTTGTTCTCAGCCTTGTTTTCTCCCTTCCTTGTTGATGAATACAGAAACAAAAGCCAAATTATGTTTTCCCCTGGAAATGTTATCTATTTTGCCGTAATACTCAGAGTGTTCAGGTTTTCCAGTTCTGTGAAAGAGGAGGCATGGTCTTGAGCACACACCCTCCCTCTGATTGCAGACCCGTCTCACTGCAAGCTCCGTGGGCCAGATTGTGGGACTCTGCTCTGCCGAGATCAAGCAGATCGTGTCTGAGTACGCGGAGAAGGTACGTGGGGGCCCCCCTGGAGTCTTTGCCTCAGGTGACACCCCAAGGATGTGTTCTCCTGCTTCTCTGCAGCCTTCCCCAGCAGTGTTGGAGTCAGGTTGTAATTCTTCAGCCACGCTTGTCAAAAACGTACGCCGTGTGAAGCCATCAGCATTTGCCCATTAGTTAAATTAATTTTCTTCTGCAGTGCCTATTTTTCTATAAATATAAAACTTGTATAAATATAGGTTTATAAGTATTTGTTGTAAATATTTGCTTCTGTAAATAGAGAAACCTTTTCTCTTAAAAGAAAACCTGTCTCGGAGCAGCTAGGCATGGGACGAATTGCTGCCTGAGGGACAGCACGGGCACGCTTCCTTCTCTGCCCGCTTCCTGTAACTTGGGCTCAGTGGGTGATTGCACTGAGGAGTGAAGGTTTGCCACTTGGGAGATAAACCCCATAACTCACCAAGCCCAAGGCAAAATTTTTTGTTCTTCTTTATTAAAAGGGTAGAGAATGAACAAAAGCCTGAAAGTCATGCATCAGCGTTAGAGTTTTTCCATCCTGAGAATAGGCAGCCAGACCTTGAATATTTCAGGGAGACGGTGATTAATCATTTTGCACGTAACTGATTCTGGTCTGGCTGAGATGTAGTATTGGTAACATCAGATTTACAGGGCATTGTTTCACATCCTTCCTTCCCCAGCCATACTTAGTCTGCCCCCCTAAAACGTTGATGTCTTTTGAAGCATCCAGCTTCACTTTTCCTGTCTCAAAAGCCTTGATGACAAATTAGCTCTGCTCTGCCCCTCTGTGCAGTGTTCTTCTGGAGCGATTGCGTGGATGATGTAGTTGGGAAGGGATGTCACCTGTAAGCTGGGAGTTACAATCTGCTGTGAGCACAGCAGGTGGTCATCTCCCACCAAGTGATGGGCGTTCTGAGCAAGACAGTGAGTAAAATGGCACAGAATGTCTGGGGGTGGGGTTCTCATGTCCCCCACCCTGCGATTCAGTGCTTCTTAACATGGGTTTTCTAATCTAGCTTTCATAGAGTCCAGAGTGTCCTCTGTTACAATTTCCCCTCAGGAAAGGTGACAGTGGTCAACATGTCCTCTGAGATCTGACCAGAAAAGGACTTAGGTTATCCTAAAAGCACAAATAAAAAGACTTGAAGATCTTGTTGTGGAAAGTGTGTATTTCACTGCCCTGAGAAGAAAGTGTCTTGGTTTGGCGTCTACACAGGCACCTGGATGGCAAGAGTATGAGTCTGTACCTGCCCTTATGTTGCCACATAGCATTGCTGAATCTAGTTTTTAAAAAAAGACAACTGTATGAGTACTCGCTGTTATTTCTACAGGGACGCTCATTTTCATCTTTGTGCTTGGCCACTGCAAGCAGATAGGAGCTCAGGTTACTGTCAGAGGGAAAGCAAGCAGGCAGACCCTCCTCTGGGTGACCGTACAGCTCTCTCTCCCAGCGCTCTCCTTGCCTTGGAGTCCTGAAGCTTACCTGTTTCCCAGTCAGCTCCACGTTTCTGTGTTTCCTCCCAGGTCTCTTATCCCCAGAGCTTTCCCATCCTCACCCTTGTCAAGTGATCTGCACCCAACTCTGATGGCTGCATTTGGGTATTCTGTATCCTGGACCATTCTCTACTTCCACTGCATTCTGCCAGAAAAGAGTGAAATTAGAGGTGGTTTTAGACAGGTCTCTTTCCAAGGACATATCTATACTTAAACTTCTCATGGAGAATTAGAGGTCAAAAGTCCATTGCTTGATTGTCTCTCACATTTGTGTTGGGTCAGTCATATAGCATTAAAGATGATGGTTTTAAAATTTAATTGCTTTTAATCCTATTCCCATATCGTGCTGTTTTCATATTAGCATATTATTTTCCAGTGTGTGTCCCCTGATATCCATAGTTATCCATAGTTGCAGTTGTCATAAATGTCTAAAAGAGGTAGAACAATGCACTTAAAACCCCAGCATTTGGGGGCCAGCCCCATAGCCAGTGGTTAAGTTTGGTGCACTCCACTCCAGTTTGATTCCTGGGCGTGGACCTATACCAGTCGTCAGCAGCCATGCTGTGGCAGCAACCCACGTACAAAATAGAGGAAAGTTGGCACAGATGTTAGCTCAGGGCGAATCTTCCTCAAGCAAAAACAAACAACAACAAAAAACCCTACAGCATTTGGAGTCATATCTTGGTTCATATCTGACTCCTCTACTTCCAGCTAGGTGGCCTTAGCTAATTTTTGTAACCTCTCTTTGCCCTAGTATCTTCATCTGTAAAATGGGAATAATATTACTTTCCTGGCAGGGTGTTGCGAAGATGTAGTTACATGTGACCAAAATGCCTAAAACAATGCCTGACACGTTATAATTATTCAGTTAGTGGTGGCCTTTATTTGCATTTTTATAGTCTACGTTTTTTTTTATCATATTGTAAACATTTTCCATGTTTCTGGGCTTCGCAGTTATTTTAGTACATAATCCATGTGTTAATAAAGTACAGTTTATTAAACATTTCTGTATTATTAGACTTTTAAGTTGTTTCTCACTGTTTGCCGTTGCAGATAACACTGTTGTAAAATCTGAGCAGATAGCTTCTGCTGAGTTTTCCTAGGAGTTAGATGGTTGGGTTCTGACTCCTGTGTGCCTTTACAAGTAAGTTGTAACAGTGTAAAATATTATCACTGGTGAGGGCCTTCTCAGCATGGCCTGAACTCTCCCAGCTGTGGTTATTCCTTTGTCTTACTGGCCACTTTGGTGGCTATAAAATGGTACCTCTTTGGACCACTGGGAGCATTGAACATGGTTCTGTGTTTTTGTTTGCTCCTTCTGTTTTCTTCTGAGTTGTCTGTGATAGCCTTTACTCATTTATCTTTTGGTATGTGATGTTTTTCTCGTAAATTTCAATAAAGTGTCTATTACCACAAAGGTAATAGGTTAAAACAACAGACATTCATTATCTCACAGTTTCTGTGGGTCAGCAGTTGGGCACAGCTCAGCAGAGTCCTTTGTTTCAGACTCTCAAAAGGTTGCACTGCAGCTGCTGCCTGGGACCGCAGTCTCATCTGAGCCTCAGATGGGGAGGGATCTGCTTCCAAGCACACATGGTTATTGGCAGCATTCAGTTGCCTGCCACCTGTTGGCTGAGGTCAGCAGCTCTTGGGGCCCAGTTCACGGGCCTCCCCAACATTACTACTTGTTTCATCACAAACAGCAAGGGAGAGCACCTCCTAACAAGACAGATGTTATAGTTTTATGTAACGTAATTGTGTACAGGCAATCACATACGTCCTGTCACCTTTGCTGTTTTCTCTTGGTCAGAAGCAAGTCCCAGTCCTGTCCACAGCCAAGGAGAGGGGATTACGCAGAGGCCTGAACACCAGGAGCTGGGGATCATGGGGCCATCTTAGAGTTGTCCACCACAGTGTGTTTGTTTCTCTCTTGAATCTTGCTACCGTAGATTGGACTGAAACTGGGCACTGGCAATTCACCTAAAATTCATGCCCCTACATTCAGGGTCTCAGTAATGAAACCCTTGGAAGTAGAGATGGGATTGAGGAATACCCAGGAGGGAAGTCACTGGCGATGCTGGAAAGAAACCCGAATTAGGCTGAGATTTTGCTTAGTAAAGAAAAGGAACAAGATCATTTTTGGAGGGTGAAAGTGTGAAGATGGTTTTGTGACCTAGCGTAGTAGAAGTGTTTGGGAAGTCAACAGGCGTTGGGATATAAAAGTGAAGTAAAAAACATGTACAGGCTTCTCTTTCATTTGTAAAGTTCACAAGTTCTTATAACAATATAACATGGTAAATAATCTTTGTGTTTCAAAGCAAGTCTCTGAGATGTGTAACTCAATTCCATATGATTCGTGTAAAGCAGCAGGGAACAAGAATGTAGAGAAGCTTCCAGATGTATAATTCACAAGTGTCAGTAAGCTCTGGGCCAAGGAGCACCAACTTTCTTTGTTTCCAAAGGGTAACGCCCTTCCCAGAATGTGCTCAGTGAGGCCCCACTGTGCTTTTTGGTGTTGATGTCTACTATGCTCCCTGCATGTTGGCATTCATTTTTACGGGGAAGAAGAATCTATGACTGCAATTTGCGGAGAACCAAAAAGTCTGACTAAATGTATACTTCTGCTCTACTATCCCCCACTCGTTTGAGCCAGAAGAAAGGGAATAAAGCTGAGCCAGAGAAAGTGCGGGGTCCCCAGAAGGGCAGGAAGGGACTTTCCCTAATGCCATATTCTAACCAACCATCCACTATTTCAACCCCTTTAATACTTTTCTGCAATGAAATCATTCCTTGGTCAGCATCTCCCTGAGACAGGATCTTAGAGCATTTTGTGGATCTAGAGGCACAGATCTTTCTTGGGGAATCATAAGAATCTATCCTGAGTGCCTTCTCTGTCCAGGCACTTTGTATACCATTATCTCATTTAATTCTCAGAACAGTGTCTGCCTCCTTGTTTATAATCCTCTGCCTTCCTCCGTCATCATACTTACTCATATGCAGTTGAAACCATCTGTTTATGTGTATGTGGACCACATCTCACTCTTCTCGGTAACCTCAGAGCCTTGCCCAATGACTGGCAGTGTTGGTGCTCAGTACAAAAGCTCGTGATGTGATATCCATTTTGCAGATGAAGACACTAAAGATCGGAGGAGTTAAGTAACTTGTTCATTACCGTGCAGCTAATAAACTCCAGATTTGCATACAGGACTATCTTGACATTGAAACCTGTCTCCTTGGCGAGATGGAGCATCCTTGGGGGGAAGTGGGGATGACTTCCTTTGCTATCCTTAGTGTCTGCCTTCCTGGCTTTGTAGTGACCATGTCTCTTTAGACTCTCCCACCATCCAGCTGCCAACCTTGGGCTAAGTGAAGAGAAGAGGCTCAGTCATATTGGGAAAACCACAGAAATAAGTAAAAGTGAAAAAGATAAGCCCAGGCACTCACACACAGTCACACCTAAGCTGCTGAAAGCTATGGAAGTTTCTATTTGGGATGTGCCA